ATAGAAAAAAATTTTCTTTTACTTTATTATTTTTGTGTGCGTGTACCATCAAATCAGATCTGACCGGTACAGGAGGAGATTGCCCCTCCTTCCCCGGCAGAGCATCTGCTGGATTTGAACCGTGCACCTCTCGGATTGTAGTTGCAGCTTCTTGCCACTAGGCCACCAGAGCTCCCCTTTTCTTAAAAGTCATGATTAGGTTGTAACAAACTCAACAGCCAGAAAATTCAAAGACATTGTGGTGATGCCAAAGTCTGCTGCTAGGAACCTCTTCAGAGAACTGAAGTGCAATGGTGTCACACTGTTATCCTCTGTGTTTCTGCCTGTATCCAATTACACAACTTCTCGGGAGGCCTGTCCACTCACGTACTTTGGGTTTTGTGTTGGCAAAAGTGAGGAAGACTCTCAGCAAAGTGCACTGACATGGTTACTGCTGCAAGGGGCTCTAGTGTGTCAGACAGTGTGAGGAAGGTCCAGGACAGGACTAGGTTCAGATCTTCTGTCCAAAGGGTTGCTACCACTCATACTTGACTCCTTGGCTCCTAACAACAACAAGTAAATGTTCAGCTTATGTAAAACCCATACTTGGACCAGGAGGCAATCGTCAGAACAGAACAAAGAAACACTGCATGGTTCAAAATCAGGAAGGGTGTACACCAGGGATGTGTACTGTCTCCATGCATTCACTCTTTAGGCAGAATAGATTATTCAGGAGGCTGAGCTCTATGAAGAGAAATATGGCATCAGCATTGGAGGAAGACTCATGAACAGTCTGTGTTACGCAAATGCAGGAACCCTGATTGCTGAAACTGAGGAGGACCTGAAGTGCTTGCTGCAGAAGGCCAAGGACTACAGCCTTCAATATGGATCTCACATCAAGAAAACAAAGATTCTCAGGGAGCTCTGGTGGCCTAGTGGCAAGAAACTGCACTGCAATCCCAGAGGTGCATGGTTCGAATCCAACAGATGCTCTGCCGGGAAAGGAGGGAAAATCTCCTCCTGTACCAGTCAGATCTGATCTGACGGTACACAGACACACACACAAAAATAATAATAAAAATATTTTAAATAAAGAAAGAAAACAAAGATTCTCGTAACTGGGACAACTGGCAGCATCCTGATAGATGGTGAAGAGATTGAGATTGTTAACAGATTTGGTTTGCTTGGCTCCACAATCAACACTCTTGGTACCAGCAACCAGTAAATTAAGAGATGAATTGCATTGGGAAAGTCTGCTGTAAGAGACTTCACCAAAGAGCAACGTTATCAGTCTAGAGACTAAGGTCCACCTGTTCCAGCCCATACTCTTTGGAATTACTTGCTAAACATAAAAAAGCTGGACAATGGGGGGGAGGGGTTTGTGCGGGGAGAAGGGTGCAACAATGAATGAATGGAATTCCAAAATCTCTGTAGATGTTCATTGAAATGAAAAATAAACAAACTAAATATTAAAAAAAAAAGCTGGACAATGACTACAGATGATAGAAGGAGAATTGCTGCCTTTGAGCTGTGGTGCTGGAAAGGAGTTTTGGCTATTTTTTGTTCTCCTATTTCCAAACATCAATACTTTCATACTAATTCTCAAAGGCTTCATGTGCAGTATGGTACTTCTCTAAAAGATGATGAAGAAGAAAAAAATAAGGTGATGGTTTCTTTTTGTCCAATTTGTACTCCTTTTAAATTAGGAGAGAGGCAAATAGGTGCCAATCCTTAAGGAATGAAGCTTAATGAGATTTTGCAAATGGATGTTAACACATATGCCTGCCTTGAGGAAATGGGCTTATGTACCCGTTACAGTAGACACTATTTCAGGATTTATTTGTGCTGCTCTCACAACTAGTGAACTCACTGCTATGGTCATTTAGTATCTGTTGCATTGTTTTGCTGGTAAGGGAGTTCCAAAGCAACTTACAATTGGTAATGGCTCTGGATATACTAGAAAACAAAAATTGGCTTCATTTTGTTCTGAGTGAAATATACGTCATATTACTGGAATACCTTAAAATCCGAAAGGGTAAGCAATTGTGGAATGTATGCATGGGATGTTAAAAGTTCTATTTACTAAACTAAGGGGAGCTCTGGTGGCCTAGTGGCAAGGAGCTGCTACTACAATCCTAGAGGCGCACGGTTCGAATCCACCAGATGCTCTGCCGGGGAAGGAGGGACAACCTCCTCCTGTACCAGTCAGATCTGATGGTACACTCACACAAAAATAATAATTTAAAAAAAGATCTATTTACTAAACTTGAGGAATCACTCCTGAACAGATTTATTAAATATTACTTTGTGTATTTTAAATTTTCGAGCAATAGAAATTCTTGTTATTCGAGGCTGCTGTCATTTGGGGAATACTTCAGATCAGTCCATAGAGAAGTCTGTTTGGTTTACAGATTTTGATGATCTGTGGATGCCCAGGTTTCTGAAAATCTGAGGTGAAGGATATTCCTGTATTTCCCCAGATAGATCTGGTAGCCTGGAAGCAGGAACGGCATCCACTTCTGAAATGGCTTGCCTCCGGAAACTCTAAGTACAAACAGTGCTCAGGACGTTCGTTCAAAGGGTCACTATGCGTCGTCTACGACTTGACGGCACCAAACACCACCACGTTTGGTGAAGCAGTATGGATTCCTCTTCAGAGTCCTGTGCTGAGCCTCAGCTTCCAGCAACAATCCTACTCAAATGGAACCAGTCAAGTCCCTTTCTGAACAAGAAGATTCCATTCTCATCTCCCCAGATGACAACAAAAGTGATGGTTGCATATCCTGCGATGTAGCAATGACAAAACACCAGCAAAGAAAGGAAGCAAGGACCTAGTCTTTCTGCTCCTCCTTGACGACAAATAAAATATCTCTCAAATGAAGCTGAAAAAAATCGTAGAAATCCATGTTTCCCAGGGGAAAAAAATGTTTCTCGCTATGATGGCTGTTGTATCATGTGCTTCAATGCTATGAGAGTTACCTAATGCGTATGTGTGATGGGCATATATTCCTTATTTTCCTTTGTCACGAGTAGTTGTTCGGTGTGAACATTTATCTAGTAATGATTGTAGACCTTTCCCTTCCCCATCCATTAATACTGGGCCTTCACATTCTAGAGAGGGCACACCTTTTAATTTTTTTTTTAATTTTTATTATTTTTGTGTGTGTGTACCGTCAACTCAGATCTGACTGGTACAGGAGGAGATTGTCCCTCCTTCTCCAGCAGAGCATCTGGTGGATTCGAACCATGTACTTCTAGGATTGCAGTGCAGCTTCTTGCCACTAGGCCACCAGAGCTGGCCCACACCTTTTAATTTATCTTTAGGATATTCCACTTTGCCAGCATAGCAGAGACCAGAGGATGCATGTTTATCTGGGCAGTATCAAATGTGGGTGTTTGTCCTTCCTATGTTGAAATGAAGGTATCATATGGGTGTGTGTATTGGTTACAAAATCTCTTATTTCCCCACAACATTGTTTGCTACAGAAAGAAAAAAAAATCAGGAGAGTTATGTGACCAGCTATCCTATACTAGTTGAGTAAATAAACCATTACAATAAACTCGATGTTCTTCAGGAGAGGAAAGTTGCAAACATTTTGAATGATACAATTGTAGATTGAGATCCTCACATGGCAAACTTCTAAATAATTATTCTATTGATAGTCATGAAAGAGTAGGTGATAATGGTATGAATGTCGTTTGGAATTTTATTAAAAATATGGTAGTTCATCGTGAACTAATGGCTTGGGATAACGGGGGTCTAGCACCTCCGCGCCCACGAATAAAGTGTAATAATACATTTGGTCCAGAACAATTGTACTTCTGATTCCTAGCCATCCACGACTTCTGATTCCTAGCCATCCACCCAAGAACTGGACAGTGAATAAGGATGACAGAAAAAGAACTGACCTCTTCGAGGTGTGGTGCTGAAGAAGAACACTTGATATCACATGGACAGAGAACAAAGAGGTTTGTTTTGGAAATGGAACAGGTGGAGTGCTCTTTGGAGGCAAGAATGAGAAGTATCCACCTCACTTTGGACATGTTACTAGGAGGTGCTATTCCTTGGAGAAGGACATGATGTTGGGAAGGGTGGAGGGAAAGGAGAGAAAGACCCTCAACCAAATGGATTGACACGGTGACTGCTGCAATGGGCTCATGTGTCAGGAAGTGTGAGGATGGCGCAGGACAGGCCTGGGTTCAGATCTTTTGTCCGTAGAGTCACTGTGTTGTACTCGACAGCACCCGATATCAACCCGTAACTCAGTGTCCTGGAGCGCTTGCATCTGAGAACCAGGGTCTCCAGAGAAGCAGAGGGGGCTGGTCTGGGGTTGGAAGTCAGATTCAAGGTCAGACACTGGAACTCTAAGAGCTGTGCAGTTGCACTCAGGTCTGGAGTCTACCTGTCATTTTCTCGTGGGTCAAGTGAAAGAATAGAGTCCATGGGATTTGCAGCCAGACCCAAAAGTGGAGAAGCCACTGAGATGAGGAGAGGCCCTTAGCCAAAGGAAAATAATGGGGGTTAAGGGGAGCGCTAAGGGCAATCTCTGATCGGCTTAATCCACAGAGAGCTATCCATAGGACAAACATCCCGGTCTCTGTAAATCCACCTCTTCTACAGGAGAGAAAGATGGGTGTCATCATCACATCTGGTTTAAAGTCTTGCAAACCTGATGGGGGTCTAGGAGTGACTGGGATCAACTTGAAAGCAATGCATTTTTCAGTACACAGCAGGCCTGGAACTTCTTAGACAGTGAGTCGCTCATTTATAAAACAGAGAGAGAAGAGAGAGCGAGCCAACAATACTCAGAGGTTTACATGTGTCATTTATAAATCTGGCATCAGTTCTCTATGAAAAAGGTTGGG